GCCTTCTCTCCCCAGCCCCTGGGGACAGAGTCTTGCTCGGCCTCAGCCTCACCCTCTAAAGTGTTGGGATTACAAGCATGAGCCACTGCACCCAACCTCAAATTACTGTGTCTGTATGCTAATTCTTAATAGCTAGTGGTGCATATTATTCCTTAGGAATTTTGACTGTTTTTCAGCTGTTGCTCTTCTGTATAAATTTTTGAGTCAGTTTATGAACCCTATAAACTTCAAAACCTTAAAACTCCAATTGGGTGTTTACTGAAACTATGAAGCAATTTCAGGAGAATTGGCATTTTTGTAATACTGAATAATCTTTTTTATAGCTCTATTTATTTTATTATTTATTTTACTTTGAGACAGAGTCTCACTCTGTCACTCAGGCTGGAGTGCAGTGGCACAATCTCAGCCCTCTGTAACCTCTGCCTCCCAGGTCCTCTTGCCTCATCTTCCCAAGTAACTGGAAGTATAGGTGCCTACCACCACGCCTGCCTAATTTTTGTGTTTTTAGTAGAGACGTGGTTTTACCAGGTTGGCCAGGCTGGTCTTGAAATTCTTACCTCAAGTTATCCGCCCACCACTGCCTCCCAAAGTGCTGGGATTACAGGTTTGAGCCACCACGTGCAGCCTGTTTAGTCTACAGTAAAGACTAGATTTTCTTTTTCTTTTCTTTTTTTTTTTTTTTTTTTTTTTTTTTTTTTTTTTTTTTTTTTTTTTTGAGACGGAGTTTCGCTCTTGTTACCCAGGCTGGAGTGCAATGGCGTGATCTCGGCTCACCGCAACCTCCGCCTCCTGGGTTCAGGCAATTCTCCTGCCTCAGCCTCCTGAGTAGCTGGGATTACAGGCATGCGCCACAATGCCCAGCTAATTTTTTGTAGTTTTAGTAGAGACGGGGTTTCACCATGTTGACCAGGATGGTCTCGATCTCTTGACCTTGTGATCCACCCGCCTCGGCCTCCCAAAGTGCTGGGATTACAGGCGTGAGCCACCGCGCCCGGCCTAAGACTAGATTTTCTTAAAGGTCTTGCAGATTTTATTAGTTTTACTTCTAGATTTTGTTTATTTTCAAGTTGCTGTGGTTAAAGGTCTTCGTTAAATGACACTGGTTGTTACAGTTGTATAGAAATACAGTTGATTTGGCCAGGTGCAGGGGCTCATGCCTATAATACCAGCATTTGGGGAGGCCAAGGTGGGCAGATCACCTGAGGTCAGAAGTTTGAGACTAGCCTGGCCAACATGGAGAGACCACATCTCTACTACAAATACAAAATTAGTCTGGTGTGGTGGTGCATGCCTGTGATCCCAGCTACTTGGAAGGCTGAGACAGGAGAATTGCTTGAACCCAGGAGAATCGCTTGAACCCAGGATGCAGAGGTTGCAGTGAGCTGAGATTGCCCCAATGCACTCCAACCTGGGCCACAAGAGAAAACTCTGTCAAAAAAAAAAGTTGATACAGTTGATTTTGGTATTTTAGTAAATCTTACATGAAGAGATTTCTGCCTACTTGTAGGTATGTGTGTGCACAGATAGCACACGCACCTCAAAAGTAAAATGCTTATCCTGGTTAAGAAAGTAGTATTTACCATCAAAATTTTGAAAATAAAGATGTTAAAATACGTTTCCAGGCCGGGTACATTGGCTCACAGGTGTAATCCCAGCAGTTGGGTAAGCTATGGCAGGAGGATCCCAAGGATTGCTTGAAGCCCAGGAGTTTTGAGACCACCCTAGGCAACAGAGTGAGACCCTCTCTCACACAAAAAAATGCATTTCCACATTATTCATACCACAATTTTGCTTTATTTCCTTTAAGTCAGAGGCATCCAGACATATATCCTGTTACAATTTTTTAAGCCCTTTAAATAGATTGCTCTCAAGTGTTACTGGATATATAAACAATTACAGACTAAACAGATCATGTGCATATTTCATGCAAAGAAGTACACATGAAGATAGATTCTTGCACAAGGTGGCTCCTGAATTCAAGTCAACCACATCTGATATTCATTTCTAACTGGAGGAAGTAGTGGCTGTGTTAGACTAGCCAAGAATCCCTGTAATTCACTAACAGCCTGTACACTGTACTTGATGGTTTAAGGGTAATTTTCTTTATGCCAGTCATATGTTATGTTGTGGCATCAAAGCCTGACTACCCCTGCGAGGTAGCCGTGCTCACTAGGTACCTGTCTGGGCATAGAAAATGCTAGGGCAGCCGAACAGGCACCAGGAGAAGATGGCTAAGGAAGGAATGGGGCCTATCCTGTTAGCTTACTTTGTAACTTTGAGTCTACTTTGGTTTTTATGATAAAACACAGCAGGGGTAGAGCAGAAAATAGCTTAAAATTCCGAAAAACTTAGAGAAACAGTGACATTCTAGTAACTTACTACATGTGAAAAATTGGTGCTTTGCCTAGATTTTTTTCTCCCAAATAGTATATTCTAGTCACACCTAACTGTGCTGTTCTGTGTCTAGATGAACAAGAGAACTGGGCAACCCATGATCCACATCTACCTGGACAAGGAAACAGGAAAGCCCAAAGGCGATGCCACAGTATCCTATGAAGACCCGCCTACTGCCAAGGCTGCCGTGGAGTGGTTTGATGGTAGGATGTACTCACTGGCATTCATCATCTCCCTGCCTGTGGAGTATGGCCAGAGGGAGGAAATTGAGAACCATAGGAGCAAAAAGACCTTCCATCTCTTCCTGGGGGGAGTGGATTGCCAGTCTCCCTTCAGTAGTTCTAGGACCCAGTCATTGACCCTGGATTTGGAGATCCCTTTATTTTTGGGCATTAGTATTATAAATCCACCTTGGTTAAAATGGCAAACACTTCTCTAAGCACGGATTATCAGAAGATAGAGAAACCCTTTGAGAGAGTTTTAGGCCGAACACAGTGGCTCATGTCTGTAATCCCAAGATTTTTGAGAGGTCGAGGCTGGTGGATCACAAGATCGGGAGTTCAGTACCAGCCTGGCCAACATAATTAAACCCCATCTCTACTAAAAATGCAAAATTTAGCCAGGAGTGGTGGCACATAACTGTAGTCCCAGCTACTTGGAAAGCTGAGGCAGGAGAATCTCTTGACCTGGAGGTAGAGGTTGCAGTGAGCTCCAGGCTGGGCAACAGAGCGAGACTCAGAAAAACATCTTAGCCAGTGTACATTTTGTGTATAGATAAATAGACATATTTATAAGGCCTTGACATTAATGCTGGGATGTCGCTTCTGACAAAACCAACTTGAAAGCATTGAATGACTTGGCCAGGTCCAGTGGCTTGCACCTGTAATCCCAGCACTTCGGGGGGCCAACGCAGGTGGATTGCTTGAGTTTGGAGGCTCAAGACCAGCCTGGGCAACATGGCAAACCCTGTCTCTACAAAAATCAGCTATTCAGGAGGCTGAGGTAGAAGGATCACTTGAGCCCATGGAGTTTGAAGCTACAGTGAGCTGAGATCACACCACTTCACTCCAGCCTGGGCAACAGAGCAAGACCCTATGTCAAAGAAAGTGTCAAATAACAAGTCCTGGCTCTCTTGGCCATGCAGTCAGCCCCCACCAGCTTACTTTTCTCCTTACAGTAGATAGTGTTTTTTGCCTTTTTTTTTTTTTTTCTGGACAGTCTTCCCCTGCAACCTCTGCCTCACAGGTTCAAATGAATCTTGTATGTCAGCCGCTCATACAGCTGGTGGGCCATGGGCACACATCATCATACCATGTTTTGCCATGTTGGCCAGGCTGTAGAGAGATTTTTAAGTATTGTAAGTGTGGCCTTTTTTGGGCCAGACATGATGGCTCTTGCCTATAAGCCTACCATTTTAGGAGGCCAAGGCAGGAGGACTGCTTGAGCCAAGGAGTTCACCAGCCTGGGCAGTAAAATGAGACACTGCCTCTGCAACAAGTTTTATAAAATTAGCCAGGCATGGTGGTGCGTGCCTGTAGTCCCAGCTACTTGGGAGGATTGTTTGAGCTTGGGAGATTGAAGCTGCAGTGAGTTGTGCCACTGCACTTGAGCCCTGGCAATAGAGCGAGACTCCCATCTCAAAAAATCCTTTTTCTGGCCTTGTCAGTAAAGATCTTGGAGAAGAAGACAGGAGGGGCAGCCCTGATTCATCTGGGGGTAGTCATTTGATGTGGAGTTGGTAAACAGCAAGTATAGGGGCATTAATTGATGTTCTGTTGTCTTGTTCCAGGTAAAGACTTTCAAGGGAGCAAACTTAAAGTCTCTCTTGCTCGGAAGAAGCCTCCAATGAACAGTATGCGGGGTGGTATGCCACCCCGTGAGGGCAGAGGGATGCCACCACCACTCCGTGGAGGTACCGTCTGAGCTTTTACAATGCATTAAAAGGTGTTCGGTACACTTCATGCCCTTGAGAAACTTGATTACTAGAGTAAAGATGATCCCATTAGAAATACTGAAGTTGTATGTAGAGTTTGAGAGCTAACAGTGAATGTTGGTGGGAATAAAAGGAAGAGGAGAAGAACATGGGAGGCTGGGAGCCACTCTGCCTGTCAACTCCAGGCTGCCCTTTTTTCTGCTTTGGTTGTGTCTGTATAGACATGCATACCCCTACCCCTTAGAGAATTGTGGGAGCTCAGCCCGGCACAGTGACTCATGCCTATAATCCCAGCACTTTGGGAGGCCAAGACAGATCACCTGAGGTCAGGAGTTCGAGACAAGACTGACCAATATGGTGAAATCCCATCTCTATTAAAAATACAAAAATTAGCCAGGTATGGTGGCACATGCATATAATCCCAGCTACTCAGGAGGCTGAGGCAGGAGAATTTCATGAACCCTGGAGGCGGATGTTACAGTGAGCTGAAATCGCACCACTACATTCCAGCCTGGGCGACAGAGCAAGACTCTGTCTCAAAAGAAAAAAAATAGAATTGTAGGAGCTCTGTTTCTGTAGAGCATGGAACACGCTCCTCACAGGGAAGGGGCTGATGCCTGAGCCACACGGAAACATATGGGATGGGTGATGGGGAAATGACAACACTGGTATCTGTGGGTTTACTTAGTGATGTTTGTTTCCCATAGCAAACCTCGTGCTACAGAGAAATGACTTGCTGTTTCTTGTGGTAGGTCCAGGAGGCCCAGGAGGTCCTGGGGGACCCATGGGTCGCATGGGAGGCCGTGGAGGAGATAGAGGAGGCTTCCCTCCCAGAGGACCCCGGGGTTCCCGAGGGAACCCCTCTGGAGGAGGAAACGTCCAGCACCGAGCTGGAGACTGGCAATGTCCCAATCCGTATGTACTTGTCTTGGCAAATTGATATCCTTCGAGTGAAGCCACCCTTCCCACACCCCATCCCCACTCAAGAGCGGATTGCTTTGTCCAGGGGAATAGAATGATGACCCTGATGGCTGGTTGGGGGCACTAACCAGTTATTCCTTGGATGCTTCAGAGCCTTCTGAAGATTGATTTGACCTGTCCTGTGGGTGCACTGCTGCCTGAGGCTGTGCCTTAAAGCCTGGGTGTACATAGATCCTCTTGATAGTGAGTGTGTACCTGTTCACACACCACCTTTCCTTGTTTATCTTACTTAGTTCAATTGGTGATTTCTGCTGTGATGTAATTGTATGCAGGGGTTGTGGAAACCAGAACTTCGCCTGGAGAACGGAGTGCAACCAGTGTAAGGCCCCAAAGCCCGAAGGCTTCCTCCCGCCACCCTTCCCGCCCCCGGGTAGGTGCAGGTTTCGTGAGTGTTCCCTCAGCTTCCTGGTGCTAAACCTCTTTTCTTATGGGCTTGGTAAACTGCAGCTGCCCTCTGCTTAAGAACCTGGGGTTGTTGTCGTGTCATTTCTAAATTGTCAGCCAGATGCTGAGATTGAGTGAAATGTCTGGTTTGTTAACTGCCATGAGAGAAGGAACCAGAGCAGTTTCCGGTGTGTCCTCAGCGTCTCTGCAGCCACCCACTGACTGCTGTCACCCTGCTTTTCTCACCTCAGGTGGTGATCGTGGCAGAGGTGGCCCTGGTGGCATGCGGGGAGGAAGAGGTGGCCTCATGGATCGTGGTGGTCCTGGTGGAATGTTCAGAGGTGGCCGTGGTGGAGACAGAGGTGGCTTCCGTGGTGGCCGGGGCATGGACCGAGGTGGCTTTGGTGGAGGAAGACGAGGTGGCCCTGGGGGGCCCCCTGGACCTTTGATGGAACAGATGGGAGGAAGAAGAGGAGGACGTGGAGGACCTGGAAAAATGGATAAGTAAGTGCTGGTGAAAAGCATCTGCGGGCTGCCGGGCACAGTGAGAGGACAGCCCCTGCCAGCTTGGATGGAGCAGGTCCCCAGGGCGCTAGGAAGCTTGTGACAGTGCTCGGGAGGAGTCAGCAAGGGGCACCTGGGGGCTTGGAAGGGTTTCCCCTTCCCATTCTAACCAAAGGGCCCCCTTTGCCTTGCAGAGGCGAGCACCGTCAGGAGCGCAGAGATCGGCCCTATTAGATGCAGAGACCCCGCAGAGCTGCATTGACTACCAGATTTATTTTTTAAACCAGAAAATGTTTTAAATTTATAATTCCATATTTATAATGTTGGCCACAACATTATGATTATTCCTTGTCTGTACTTTAGTATTTTTCACCATTTGTGAAGAAACATTAAAACAAGTTAAATGGTAGTGTGCGGAGTTTTTTTTTTTTTCCTTCTTTTAAAAATGGTTGTTTAACTAAGACTTAACAATGGGAACCCCTTGTGAGCATGCTCAGTATCATTGTGGAGAACCAAGAGGGCCTCTAACTGTAACAATGTTCATGGTTGTGATGTTTTTTTTTTTTAAAATAAAATTCCAAATGTTTATAAACAGTCATCCTTCTCAGCCTCTGTTCCACAGTCACTGCATGTCTGCTGGGAACGTGTTCCCAACCAGGAGAGTAGTGCCTTCCACATGATAACAGTTTGTTCAGGAGTGGTGTGACATGGAAACACAGACACTGTCCCTGACAGCCTCTCAAAAGATCCACTAATGTCCAAAGGTTTAAGGAGAGATCCAGTTTAGGGAGGCACAGGAAGACTTACTTGCCATCCATGGGATCAGAGGTGAGGAACTAGGAACATCTCAGGGGCTACTGCCTCAGGCGAGGGGCAAGCTTGCTCAGGTGGACTAGGATTGGGGCCCTCATCCCCAGCACTTCTGGACATGGATCACGCACACCTCTCCTTGTCTGTACTTCAGTATTTTTCACCAGTGTCTCCCTAGTCATTTCCTGTGCTAATACGTGTTTGATTCCCTGCATTTGAAAAATCCTTAACCTGCCATCATTCACCTCCCACCATCTAACCATCTTCCTGGCCCTTTCTACAGGGAAGTGCGTGGACAGAGCCGTGTCCACCTCCTCCCTCTCTGGAACCCACTTCATTCTTTGCCTGCACTGAAACAATAGCTCTCAAGTCACCAACCACCTCTAATGTTGCCAAATCAGCGATCATTCCATCTGTGTTCTCCCATCTCTTTCATTGCTTCCTTTTTATCCTGTCCCTAAGTGCAGGAGGGCCCCAAGGCTAGCATAGGGTTCCCCTGAGCCCCCCACTGCTTGGCTTGCTTTCCCCTGCTGTGGCTTTAGCGCTTTCTTCCTAGGGCCAGCTCGGCTTGGGTGCATGATGGGTGTAGAGCAGGGCTTGCCCCTGCCCCCTTCTCCCTCCACCCCAGTTCAGCAAATTCATGAACTTGCCCCAAACCTTGGCGTCATACGTGACCCATTCTCAAACCCCAGCCCCCAACGCGGCTATCTTCCAAATCCAGGACAATGCAGATCCACCCACGGCCCCTGCCTCCATGATGCCAGCTCACTGGGCTCCCTGCTTCTCCCCTCCCTATTTCCAGCCCTTTTTCAGAAGCCGGATGAAGGTTTGTAGTTTTTGTTTTCTTTTGAGATGGAGTCTTACTCAGTTGCCCAGGCTGGAGTACAAGTGGCATGATTTCAGCTCACTGCAACCTCCACCTCCCAGGTTCAGGCAATTTGCCTCATCCTCCAGAGTAGCTGGGACTACAGGCACCTGCCACCAACCACACTTGGCTAATTTGTATTTTTAGTAGAGATGGGTTTCACCGTCTTAGCGAGGCTGGTCTTGATCTCCTAACCTTGTGATCCACCCACCTCGGCCTCCCAAAGTGCTGGGATTACAGGCATGAGCCACCGCACCTGGCACAATCACAGCGTTGACCTGAGCTAAAGCGATCTTCCCACCTCAGCCTCCTATCTGGAACTACAGGTATGCACCACTACACCCGGCTAATTTTTTTGATGTTTTTGTAGAGACCAGGTCTCACTGTTGCCCAGACTGGTCTCAACTTGGGCTCAAGCAATCATCCTGCCTCAGCCTCCCAAAGTGCTGGGATTACAGACGTGAGCCACCGCACTTAGCCCAGACTAACTTGACATGGGAGGTCATCTCCATTCTCAAAACCATTTGGCGGCTCCAAGCATGCCTGCCATGCCCCCAAAAGACACCTGGGTCCCCAGCTGCCCTGCTCTGCCCTGCTCACCGGTCCAGCCAGCACTGTTTCTCCAAGGGGCCTGCCTTGATGTGTCAGAGGCAAGGTGCACACACACCTATGAGACCCAAACTTGACCAGGGCGTCACTGGGCCCCTGCATCGTGCCAGGCATTGCACTAAGTACCTCTGCGTGTTTAATTCCTAGTAACTTTCAAGGCGGGTAACATATGACACCCACGTGCAGATGAGATGGGAATATCGAGGTCAAGACGGCACTTGCCATTGAGAGGCCGAGTTGAGTTAAAGATGGTCACCCTCCAGAACCCCACACATTGACCCTCCCACCACCCCACTGAACACAGACACCTGTTTCTGAAAGGATGGGTGCTCTGGCAGCAAAGAACATGATCTGCAGCCGCCAGCACTAAGGGGAGACAAGCAACCCTCTCTGGAAGTGTTCGATTCCTGGATGCTGCACAGGCATCCGCCAGAGTTGGGCATCGCATAGGCTCCCCAGGAGTAGCCTTATGTCCCTGCCTTGAGAGGGGTTTGTGGCTGGCACTAAATAGCCCTGGTAGAGACGTTTACAGAAGGCAGGACTATTTTTCTCAGCCCAAAGACACTTCTGGACTGCTCTGGGCACAGATGCTCTCAGGCAGTATGGATTCTGAGCCTGTGTCAAAGGGCCGAACGAAGCTGGCTGGTGCCAGGGCATGAAGGAGGTGGGCAGGGCAGAGAGCAGAGCAGGTGGAGAAAAAGCCTGCCCTATACCCCACACCTGCTCAAACTCCCCAAAAGCACCTAGACTAAAAGTTTCCAACACAAGCTTGAGGTCCCACTAGGCCACACTGCACAGGCCTCAGCAAAGGTGGTAGGGTCCATGGGAAGACTGTGCTCACAGGGAGTGGCTTCCCTGCTTGATGGGAAGGAGCTCAGGACTGCAGCAGCTGTGGAGCTGAGGACAGTGTCATCTGTGACAGGGACGACAGGTGGCCTTCATGCTGTTCCCTCCTCCACTCCTGACAGATCTGCTGGTCGCAGGCCTGGCCGTGGACAGTGTGATGCAAGCAGGTTGGAAAGAGCCCACTTGGTTTCTCCAGTTTTGCGTCTCTCTTGTGGAGGGCACTGGAGGCAGCTCAGGGTCACCTGTCCCATAGCTAGAGCAGGAGCTGACCAGCAGGAGTCCTTGGAGCCAAGCCCACATCTGCATACAGCAGCCCAAAGCCTCCTGTGAGTCCCTCAACTCATCCTGGGCTGTGCTCAGAGCCTCAGTCCAGACTAGAGAACTTCGAGTTTTAATCCAGCCAGTGCTGGAGGTTCCTGGAGCTGCCTGGTAGCAGGGCTGCAGCCCACAATGAGGGTTTTGCTTGAAGGCTCCACAACCATCATCTGACCTCTAGCTGCAGCCAAGGCCAAGCAGGCTGCTGGCTGGCACAGAGGCAGTGGGTATAAGAAACTTGCCATGTGCCCTCTGGCTAAAGGCCAGAAGGAGCCCACATGAGAGCCACAGCATTCTGTGCAGAGGTGGGTGGCCTCAAGGGTCTGTGCAGATGGGCTCAGGGCCCCTATAAGCCAAACCTCCCTGTCCCTCCAGCAGTTTCTGTGGCTTCTCTTGGTCCTTCAAGGAACAAGGGAGATCGTGTAGAGGCTGAGGCTTTCCCAGAGGTGGCCCCATGGGCCCTGGGCCACCACATAACAGAGGCAGTCAAAGCTAGGGCCCGCCATGCCCTGGGCCAAGGGTCTGACCACCCCAGTGAAGTCTGCACCGTGGCAGCCACATGTCCTGGAATCAGGTATGGGAGGCTGTGTTCTGGAACAGACCTCTTAATCATACCACACAGCTCATGGGAGAGAGGGAGAAAGGAATCTCTTTATCATCCCTTCTCCCCAGAGACGAGGACTTGCTGAGCCAGGCCATACTGAGCTGGGTAGTGGCATTATTTTTCACAACCCTGTGATGTGACTACTACTACTGTCCCATTCTACAGATGCTGCCACTGAGGCTCAGGGAGCTTCACCATCCCACCCAATGACCAATGGCAGAACCTGGGTTCAGTCCAACTTCACCTGTGTCCAGGGTCCCAAAATGCAACAAGGTAGGTACAAGCAAGAGTCAAATTACTGCAGAGCTGCTGGCTACACACATCCTTGCCTTCTCTGGGTCTCAGTTTCCCCAAATTGTAAAATGAGAACACCTAAGAGTATCATAGCTCCTTGAGGTATCTTGAGGTTTAGTGTCCACACCCTGATTCACCCCTACCCCAAACCCTCCTCCATCTCCAGCAGCCCTCCCCTCCTAGGTGTTTGCACCTCCGCCCTCCCAGTGCTCAGCCCTGGGAGTCATCCTGGATGCCTCCAACCTCACACTCAACCAATCCCACAGCACATCAGCTCTACCCTCACAATGTGGCCAGAATCCAGCACCCTCTCACCACCTGAGAGGTTTCCTCTGAGGCTCCAGCTCCCTCTCTGTGCAGTGTGGCCTGGTGGGACCTCAAGCTTGTGTTGGAAACTTTTAGTCTAGATGCTTTTGGGGAGTTTGAGCGGGTGTGGGGTATAGGGCAGGCTTTTTCTCCACCTGCTCTGCCCTGGCTGCCACAGCAGCCCCATGGAATGTGAAAACCTAAGCCAACCTCCCCTGCCGTAAATCATTCCAAGGCTCCTGTGCCAACAAGGCCCTGCTTGATCAGTCTGGGGCCTCTCTAATCTACCTCCTCCCTCGCCCACCTCCCTGCTTGCTCTCCAGCCTCAGCCACCTCC